AGATAAGGCCCGATTTGTGGTACTTACCAAGTGGGCCAACTACACAAGAAATTGGGCCGTCCTCCCCGGCCCAATCGACCCAATAGGTAGGTACTGCTTCCATGTATTGGGGGAAGCAGAGAGATCCCCGAAATCAAACCCCTCCTCTTCTCTTCCCCTTCCTCCTGCGTTCTAGGGTTTTGCCTCCCAGCGGCGACTCGGCGAGCGAGACCACCGGCAAGCTCGTCGGCGATGGAGCCCACCTCGTCGGCGGCGATGGCGAGGCAGACGTGGGAGCTGGAGAACAACATCCCGGCGGCGGCCTCCGACCCGGACGCCCTGGACGCGATCTACCGCTACGACGAGGCGGCGCAGGCGCGGGTGCAGCAGGAGAAGCCCTGGGCGAACGACCCCCACCCCTTCCGCCGCGCCAAGATCTCCGCCCTCGCGCTCCTCAAGATGGTCGTCCACGCCCGCGCCGGCGGCACTATCGAGGTCATGGGCCTCATGCAGGGCAAGTGCGAGGGCGACGCCATCGTCGTCATGGACGCCTTCGCGCTCCCCGTCGAGGGCACCGAGACCAGGGTCAACGCCCAGGCCGACGCCTACGAGTATATGGTCGAGTACTCCACCATCAACAAGCAGGTCAGGCCCCCCAATCCTTCCCTCCTCGCTGTTTATTTTGGACCTCATGATCTGACCACGCTTTAGTGTTGCTCCAATCTAGGTCGTTATCTGCTTTCCCTGCCTGAAATTGTATAGCTAGGAACACTAAATCATAATAATAATTAGTAGTGCCACGGCGCCGTCTGCTCAAAAGTTGTGCGGGAGGAAGTATTTGTGGTTAAATATTGTTAGTGCCACGGTGCTGTCTGCTCAAATGTTGTACGCGAGAAAGTATTTGTGGTAAAATTTTGCAGTGCTGCTAATTTGGTGTTCATTGTGTCACCCTTAGATTGGTTCGCACCATGCTATTGATCATAATGTTTCTGAGGTCTCAGTTTTTGCTAACACATTGATGACTGATTTGGTATGTTTGTTGTGATATTTGATCCTAGGGATAAAAACTACAGGGTATAATATTTGGAAGTTTTAGTTGATATTTTAGCACTTTGAACTGGTGGTATTTACTGTTTGTGCACATACTGCATTGTATAATCTGTTTCATAGCATTTGTTGTAGGATTTGGTAGTCCCCATACTGTGTATCACAGCCATCTTCTTCTAGGATTTAGTCATCTTAGAATTGTTTTGTGTCCATCTGATCATACATAATCTTTGGGGTGGCTGAAATGCTAAGGGGGATCTTGATTTTTTTTCCTTATTCTATACTTTCATGTTCTATTCAAAATTCATTACCTCGTGATCATTGAGCTCCGAAAATGAGAATAAATCGATGCAATTTGCTATATAAAGTTACCTAACATGCATATATTCATTTGGATAGGCTGGAAGGTTGGAGAATGTGGTTGGCTGGTATCACTCACACCCTGGTTATGGATGCTGGTTATCAGGCATTGATGTGTCTACTCAGATGCTTAATCAGCAATTTCAAGAGCCATTCTTGGCTGTTGTGATAGACCCTACAAGGACTGTTTCTGCTGGTAAAGTGGAAATTGGAGCTTTTAGGACATATCCAAAAGATTACAAGCCACCAGATGAACCTGTGTCAGAGTATCAGACGATACCACTCAACAAGATAGAAGATTTTGGTGTCCACTGCAAACAGGTAACTAACTTATACGTCTATTTTTTTCCTCCCTTGCCCAACAAATGATCTAATTCTGTTCTAATTGTGTTTTGTGCAGTACTATGCTCTGGATATAACTTATTTCAAATCATCCCTGGATTCTCATCTCCTTGATCTACTTTGGAATAAGTACTGGGTCAATACGTTATCTTCATCACCTCTCCTGGGCAACAGGGATTATGTTGCTGGCCAGATATTTGATTTAGGTAAGAAATTTCTTTTATGAATATTTACCCAAAAAGAAGTACACATCTATTTTTGTTTTACCATGAGACCAGATAAAGTTATAAACCAATTTGTGCTATGCAGCTGATAAACTAGAGCAAGCTGAGGGTCAACTGGCACACAGTCGATATGGCATGCTTATGCCATCGCAACGAAAGAAAGAGGTCATATTCTTTACCATCTGCTGTTCTTCGTCACTTTCAATAATTTGTGGTGGTATTGTATGCTTGCAACTTGCAACCTATGAGATAAATGCCAACTATATTTGAAAAATTCCATCTGCTGTTCTTTGTCACTTTCAATAATTTGTGGTGGTATTGTATGCTTGCAACTTGCAACCTATGAGATAAATGCCAACTAGATTTGAAAAATTGAACATAAAGACATTTAGTTATGTAAATATTGAATTAGTGACATCATGCATGGGTCAGTTTGTTATGTGCTAGGGCTTTCTCTCATGAGAAATTTGGGAGGAAGCTATAGCTGTCATACTTCCATTAGGACCATTACTTCTGTTATATTTGGAGTACTGCAATTGTGTTGCTCTGTACTTGTGTTGATAGGAGATTTCAAGCTGAGTACGCAGATTGATGATAGTAAAGTAAAATACAAGATATTAATATGAAAGCCATCTGAGTGAGACTGGGAAAGTATGATCCAGATTATGTTCTGTTCAGAGTTGCAACTTGCAACAAATGGGTTAAATCTATATTCGGGATAATAGACTAGGATTGAACTAGTCAAACAGTTCTCTTTCTTGCAAATATATAAATCAATTTGTTCTTTGTTATTGTATATATTTGTATTATGTGTCCTCAACATTGTGATGTTTGACCCATATGTCTATAACACACATATTTTTGGATTTCTTAAGAATTATTGCCTATTCTGCTCTCTCCAACCTATTTTGTGCAAATTACTTAATTAGTGTTATAGTGTGTCAATTGTTTATGGCTATCTTTGAGATCTAAATGAAACTTCCTCTTTTTTGTTCCTTTTTATGTTTTACTCAGCAAGAGGAGTCTCCACTGGCTAAGGTAACTCGGGATAGCTCAAAAATTACTGCTGAACAGGTCCATGGTCTCATGTCACAGGTAATCCATAAGCAAGCCTGACTGTTGACGAGGTTTGATTCTCCTGGTATATATATTTGCTTGCATTATGCTAACTTTTGCAACATGATGTTTCAAGGTCATTAAGGATATCCTCTTCAACTCTGTGCACCCGTCAAACAAGGCAAGCACAAGCGCACCAGATTCATCCGGGCCTGAGCCTATGGTTGAAGCATGAGTGTTCTACAGAATTCCTTCATTAGTTAGCCTTTTGTTGATGCTGGATTCACATACACTGGGTGCCTAGTTGTTTCATGACTAAAAGCTGTGTCCAGCATAACTACCCGATTCAAAATGCGTTAGCTGCGTTTTATCGTCAAATCATAACTGATATGTAATTATGAGTTGCCTTCTGAATCTTTCGGCTGCCATTGTGAAGGTGCGTGGTCTACGTTAAGATAACCAATTACCTTGGCCCAACTTACCATGTTCTCTCAACAATGAATGGTCCCAACGTCGCTAGGCACAGTGTATGTTGATTTGGATGATCTTTCTGGTATTTATCCTCCGATTTTGGTTTCTATATTTCCAGTTCATTTCACTGTGTCAGGTGCTACGGGTACAGCCGTACAGCATTGTTGCTTTCAATTAACGTCAGAATTTGTCTTATGATTATTGTAGGGCCTCGTTAACTTGGTCGGTCAAATAATTCGTTCCCACTTCGAAGAAGAAACCAAAGACCTTATCAATTAAGGACAAGTATATTACTTTCAACTCACGACTTCGTGGGATCTTCCACTTTGACATGAATATCTTCAAGTGGAGAAATATAAACATTTCATTTTGACACGTTAGCAGCAGTACCCAGAGATGCTACTTTACTTTGTTTAACAATATAGTAAAATATAGTAATACGTTTTAAATAAAAAGAGTTACATATTATGATAGTTTGTTTAATGATAAATTCTAGTAACATCAATATGGGTGGGTCTAGTCGTCAAACGTTTGCATTCCACGAACGTTTAATAGGTTTCGTCGTTATTCGTTCTAATGACTCGTTTAAGCTCGTATATGGTAGTTAGAGACCAACCAATCACTTTTCCCTACTATCAAATCGATTTTATTTCTTGAAAAAAAAATCCGGTGATGCTTAGATTTTTTATTTGTACTGAAATTTATACATGCAAAATATAATTCATAATATGAAGTTCCATTAAAAAAGCTATAAAAATGACTATAAAGAAAAAAAAAAGTAATTTGAAAAAAACAGAATGCAAAAACAAAAAAATGATACATATCGCTTCGGGAGAATCAACGTAAAAAAATAACGGGAAATTGAAAAGATTCACGTAAAAAGGAGAAAAAAGGAAATTAAGAACAGAAAAACGTAGCGACACAACCTCTCACGCATCGCCACGTATCTTCGATCCTCCCCAGCCTGACCCGTTCACGAGGATGAGCGGAAGCGAACGTTCGCTCATTAGTCATCCTTCATCAATTTTACATAATTAATCTTTTTTAATTTTTTTTACTATTAATAGTCAAAGTTGAAAATGTTTGACTTCCAAAAAAAAAGAAAATGCTTATATTTTGGGACGGAGGGAGTAATCATTAGACACAAAGGAAATTATTTTAAAAAAGTTAAACGTAATATTAAAAATCCTTCGAAACTCACTCTAAGAAATTTCAAAAGAATTTAAGAGACTCATCCCTTCTTTCCAAAGGAACACATGAATTCTTTCCATATAGTAATCTAATCATTCAATATTCCCCCAAAATTTGGTACTTTCAAAGAAGCTCTACATGCATAAAATTTGGTACTTTTAAAGAAGCTCTACATGCATAGCCTTACTGGTGGCTATAGCCTTGAACGATCAATACGGTGCTATGTATCATCAACATACAATAAGACCTAACATAGCATTATTGTGAGTTTTAGACGGGTTCCACTGAAGTGTATTAGCTTGCCCAATATGTATATGGCTAGAGGGGTATTACGGTAGACCATGAACCTCATAGGATTAGCTACTGGGAGAGAGAGAGAGTACCACCATCATGGAAAAGAAGAATTTTATAGCCTTTAAGAAAATATCCTAAGGTAGTTTACACTATAAAATATGGTGCCTCTGTTAGCTTTTCAAGGATGGAAAAATTGCCCATTTCCGAATAAGTATAATGTGCATGGCCTAACAAGAAAAACAATTCAAGTCTTCAACACGGCAGACGCAATTGATGCCCCCAACGTCGCCAACGAGACTCACGACTGCTGCATTTGCTGCTAGCTCATGAGTGGCGTAGAGATGATGTTCTATCGTGTCCAACGAGATGAGCTTATGAACAACCGTGCTCATGCTCGGCCGCCTGCTAGGCTCACCGTCCACGCACGAAACCGCCAGCTCCAGCAACCCGGCTGCCTGCACATGGTTGAAGTCACCGCGCAGCCGCGCGTCCACGAGCTCCTCCAGCCACGCCGGCAGCTCGCCGTCGTCGCACTTCAGCTTCTCCTTGAGCCACACGGCCAGTCGCTGGACATTCCATGCCCCGTCGGCCGTCGCCGCAGCCGCTACCCAGTCGCACACCCTCTGCCCCCTGACCAGCTCGAGGAGCACGACGCCGAAGCTGTACACGTCGGCTTTGCCGTTGATCGAGCGACCAACTGTCCAGCACTCTGGCGTAATGTAGCCCCTGGTCCCCTGCACCCGCGACAGCGCCATGTGGCTGCCGGCGTCGCGGCTCAGCAGCTTGACGAGGCCGAAGTCCGTCACCTTGGGCTCGAAGTCGCCGTCGAGCAGGATGTTCTCCGGCTTCACGTCGCAGTGCACGATCCACTCCAGGCACTCGTGGTGGAGGTACGCCAGCGCCTTCGCGACGCCCACGGCGATCTTGTACCTCGACCGCCATGGTAACACCACCACACCGGAGCTCTCGCCGTCGTCGCAGAAGAGGGCCTTGTCGAGCGAGCCGTTCTCGACGAACTCGGAGACGAGGAGGCGGTGCGGGTGCTCCGAGCAGAAGCCCCATATCCTGACGAGGTTCATGTGGTTGATCCGCCCGATGACGCTCAGCTCCGACCGGAACACCTCGTCGGCCTGCGTCATCTCGTCCAGCCGCTTCACGGCGATGCTCCGGCCATCCTCAAGAACACCCTTGTACACGGATCCCGTCCCGCCCTTAGCAATCTCGTCTCTGAATCCGCACGTCGCGTCTGATAGCTCGTCGTAGGTGAACCTCCGGAAATGGCTAAACACCAAGCTGTACCCTTCATCACCGACCCGTCCTGCCGCCACGGAGTCAGCTCGAAAGACAAACAGGTAACCCACGACGACAAAAATGGCCTCCACGACGAACACAACCGCGAGGAAGCTGTAGAAGTAGATGAAGTTTATCGTGTTGCGCCTGCCATGAAGGTACGAGCTGCTGACCGTAGCGTCCCGTTCGTCCATGGTGCAGGTGTGGCCATCGAAGTGCAGCAAGGACGGGTTCAGGTTCTTGGCACCCGTAGGGAACTTGAGGTAGATGGTTTGGTACGGAATGCTCATAACCCGGCCGTTCCAGAGAGAGATCTTGGGGTAGCACTCACCGGTGCCCTGCCGGTAACCGAACGCCTCGCAGCGGCAGTCGACGAGGCAGAGACGCCGGCACGTGTCAAACGAGATCCCGGCGGTGTAGTTGAGGTCGAAGCCCCAGTAGTCGGTGTGCCGCATCTCGGCGAACGCGACGTCCTCGCCGCACCTGACGTCGAACGTGCGCCGGCATCCCTTGCTCCAGTCGCTCGCGTCGTGAGGCACATAGCCGTCGGGGCAGGAGCACGTCGGGCCTTGGCTGTACGTGCATATGCCGTAGCGGCCGCACAAACCGTGCACGTCGCACTGCCTCTGGACCGCGACCCACGTGACGTGCCAGCGCCCGGCGGCGGCGTCGAGGCTGTAGAGGCGGAGGTTGCCGTCGTAGTCGAGCGTGAGCCGCCTCATGACGCCTCCGTCGCCCATGTCGGAGGCGTTGAACTGCAGCTGGTCGCTCGCCGTGAAGACGCCGCGGCGGTCGAAGCTGCCGTGGCGGCTGCTGTTGAACGCCGTCCGGTTGTTGTCCCACCACTTCTTGAAGGGGTCCGGCCAGTAGTTGCTGCTGATCTCCGGTCCGTCGTACATCAGGTTGAGGATGTTGCTGCTGTCGAAGTAGAACTTGTAGTAGCCGGAGTACGGGGAGCCCCTCGCCTCGGCGGACACGAGCTGCCTGTACCGCGTCACGGGCTGCTCCGGCAGGAGCGTGTCCGTGGGCCAGTCGAAGCTCTGCCACAGCCGGTTGCCGGCGGCGTCGGAGACGACGAGGTTGCCGGTGTCGAGGAGCTGGGCGCGGTCGGCCGGCGTGCCGCTGGTGTTGGTGCTCCACACGACGCGGCCGTCGTAGTCCTGCAGCACCAGCGAGCCGTCCTTGCGGAGCTCGGCGCGCGAGCCGACGCCGTTCACGGGGGTGTCGCGGTTGGCCGTCCACGCGACGGTGGCGTCGGCGGACGCGGTGAACCAGACGGCGAGCGTGTAGGCGTTGGTCGCCACCTTGTAGAAGCCGCACGAGAAGTTGCCGCTCGGCGACACGAGGACGCTGTCGGCGGCGTCCTCCACGGCGATGGAGCCGCCGCGCCACAGAACGCTGCGGCGATCGCCCTCGCCCGCCGAAAGAGCAACGCAACACAGGGAGGTGAGTACGATCAAGTGCAAGCCATGGACTCGATTCATCGTGTATCCTAACCCCACAGGGCTGGAGGCGTGAGTTCCAACTTCCAACTTAAAAACTGGTTTAAAAGGGGAAAGAATGTGGCTAGCCTGCTGACAGTGACATTTCCCAATTGAGATAGTGTGTACCGTCATTTATTTAACCATTAATCTTCACTGTCACTGCCGGCAAGTGAACATGCTTCTTGGTACTCCCACTGGATGGAGGTAGCTCCTTGGTACTTGACCGGTGGATTAGTGCAGTTAGAGCAAGTATAATAATGAGCTATAAGCTTACTATGAGTTTAGGTGGAGGAGAGATAGTGAAAAATTAAGGGTGTTGGCTTTCATGCAAGAGCTAACTTATCACAAATTCCAAGACAAATACATTAAATGTATAAGTGAGGGATAGCTAGAGAGAAGAGAAAACAATTATAGCCAACCTTATAACTAATCCATTATATATGTTGACTTTAAGATATGCTAATAATAAGAAGTGAGCTATACTATTATTTTTGCTCTTAGCAGCCTCAGCCTGCAGCCAGAACAGTCTGGCAGTCAAGCACCCCGGTGAAAGTAGTTGTACTCAAAAGAGCTAAACATCGTTAGTACTACAGACTAATTGACAGCCCAAAGGCCGCCGGCAACGCAGATGGGCAATTACTTGATGCTGTGGGGAATGACTTTCACATATTGGTATATCTTACCATTTTTTTTATTTTTTATTACTTTAAGACAGCACGTACAAAAGCGACAAAAATCCATCTGCGATGCTGTACCAAACTACTGAAATGGGCTTGCAAATGTGCTATTATAAGGGAGGGGCATATTTACCGTTAGCAAGAAGCCACTACTATTCACGGTTTGCAATGTGTAAAACTTTAGGCCTTGTTTAGTTGGTGAAATTTTTTTGTTTGGTTGTCGTATCGGATACACGAACATACATTTTAAGTATTAAATATTGTCTAACAACAAAATAAATTACAGATTCCACCAGGAAACTGTGAGATGAATTTATTAAGCCTAATTAATCCGTCTTTAGCAAATGTTTACTGTAGCAACACATTATTAAATCATGGCGCAATTAGGCTTAAAAGATTTATCTCGCAATTTACACGTAATATGTGTAATTGGTTCTTTTTGCCTATATTTAATACTCCATGTATCTTTCCAAATATTCGATGTGACAGCGTGAAAATTTTTGTTTGTAAGAGGTCCTGTTTAGTTCCCAAAACATCATTTTTCACCTTTCACATCGAATGTTTGGACACATGCATAGAGTATTAAATGTAGACGAAAGAAAACCAATTGCACAAATTGCGTGTAAATTGTGAGACGAATCTTTTAAACCTAATTGCGCCATGATTTGACAATATGGTGCTACAGTAAACATTTGCTAATAATGGATTAATTAGTATTAATAAATTCGTCTTGCAGTTTTCTAGCAGAATAATTTGTTTTGTTATTAGACTATGTTTAATACTTCAAATATGTGTCCGTATATCCGATGTGACACATTGAGCAAATTTTTTTTTGCCAACTAAACAAGGCCTTAACTCTCAAATATTTTAAAAATATCTTGATTGGACACGAGAAATAAATGCATTGATAAATTTTTCAGTTACGATATTGTGTGAAAAGTCAACACATGTCATAAATGAAAGTATAAAATAATTATTTAAAAATGTAAACTGCACTGTGGATCCTTGCTGTGCGGTTATGTCACGACAATTTTCATTTTATCTCTTCACACCTGAACTTGACTACGCTAAGCGGCATATATTCTGTTTTTGTATCCATTTCTCAAATCTCAATAACATGCAGGTTAGTGAGAATGCATTTATGCGGCCATGCGGGTGAAGGGAACATACAGGAAATATCTTACTACTGATGTTCAATTTTTGTCTGATGTACTTGTAGAATCATGTGATGATTAATTTTAGTGATGAATAATTTTCAAAGGTATTAAGTCAAAAGAACAATTGTCAAAGGTGAATGTTTATTGAAAATATGTTGAATAGTGTTTCCGGATTATGAATGGTGTTGTTGGCTCTGAGAGGTTGGTCAGACCGGTGGTGTTGGTGCGGTTTGATCGGGTAGCCTGATGGTCAGACTGGCAAATTTCGGGAAGGAGTCGGTTTTGGGTTGTGTACATATAAGAAGAGGAATCAAATTTGGATTGGAAATCAAGTTTGAGATAATTGGAGTGTGGAGTTATATGGGGTTGTTGTTTCCCTGGTTTCCCTATATGATTAGAAATTCTAGTTCTATTTGGATTCATGGCTAGGGGAAGCCATATTTCAGGTATAAATAACAGAGGGGTTGAGGTTAGAAAGATATTGACTTTTTAGGATAAAAAGTTAGGGTTTGTTTAGCAACTTTAATTCTAATTCGTGAGTTAAGAGATGAGTGCTTTATATGCACTTTGTAAACATATTGATGTAATTATAAAGTTAATATAATTTCAAAAGTTTTATTGGTTTGTGTTTTTCTGGATCCCGGTGGTCTAATCGGAGTACATTGCGTGGTTAGATCGGTGGTGGCTGCAGCGGCAAGAGCATCGGCATTAAGTAGGAAGGCGGTCTGACCGGAGGCCAGACACTGATCTAATCGGCGGGTAGACGACGGTCTGACCGGTAGTGTAATGGTGGTTTGACCAGCGATGATCTAATTCGACCGGTACGTCTTGTTCAGAGTCTCCATCAAGTATTTGAGGGAAATCTTTTACTTGTGCAAAAAGATTTGTTTTTCAATGTCCCTACCATTCACTCCCTGGTAGGCATAGATGTTGTTATTCACTTTCGAGTATGAATAAATCATGGCCACAGTTAGCCTGAATATTTGAGCATTTTGGTTCATGCATCTTATTTGTTGACTGTTGGATAACGTACTCTCTTATATCACTTAATTTCTCTAACTTTTCCTATTGAATTTAGATAGCCAAAGTAACACCGGAAAACAAAAAGAAATAGTGACTACAAAAACTATGTTTGGCAAAATTCAAATGAATTAGGGGGCATATGTATATTTCAAATGAAGAGTCGTGTCAAACAAATATAGGAGGCTTTCCCTGCTTTAAATGGTTTTCGAGCTATTTTCATGAAAACTGACAAAACCGCTCAAGAGAAGTTTTTGATCAGTGAACGGTTTTGTAAACCCTGACTGCAACCCATCTGATTAGGAACATAGTTCAGCTTTTCATTCTCTACATTAGAAGGAAATAACTCATAATTCTATTATATACACCTACATTTATATGAAAAGCATATAATTTTAATAAGTGGAAATAAGTCAACCCTAAAGAGATGTAGTTTGACTACCACTATGGGTGTATATACTGTGTATTTTCTGTAGCCATAAAACCATATCATCCTAGAACTAAATGTTGCAACTTGCAATAGACTTATCCAAATCTTTGCTCAATTCCTATCCATTGGAATCAACTTATCTATATATTTACTCAATTTCTACCTGCGGAATCAACTTATCTAGATCATTGGCGTTGACAATTACAACTCACACTGAAAGGATTACTGATTGGTAATTGTGTAATTGTTGGCACCATAGTTGGGAATCGGAGAGAGGGAAAAAGGGTTGGCACCAGTCCTCTATTTTTTTTTCTCAATGTACCGAGAAGAAAGGGGGCTTAGCAGGAATAATAAGATGAATGATTGCGATCTGTAGCCCATGTAAGAATAAGAACGAAATTTTGCAAAGACAAATGAAAATCAATGAAAGTACTAAAGGGAATGGTGAAAAGGAAACGCAAAATCAAGTGAATTACAATAAGGAAAAGATAATTAAATTACAATAAGGAAACGATAATTAAAAAATCACTTATTAATTTTATTCGTCACGCGACGTCAAGGCGCATATATATTCCCACTATCCTCCACGCACGTTATAGGGAAATGGAGACAGAAACACGACGTGTCACTATGCAATTTTAGATGCGCCAAGAAAAAAAAGAAGATCAAATTTTGGTGACACAGCCTTACAATTTCAAGATATGCCTTTGTATAGGATGGCATTGACTTTTCACATTACAATAATACCCTAGTTGAATAATGTATTAATGCATTTTTCTCATGTCTAATAAGATATTTTTAACATCATGGTAGTTACTCAGAAAGCGAAGCTTGCCGCACTGTAAATTAATCGTCAATATTAATACTTTGTTTGTACTCCATCCATTCTATAATATAAGACACAACCCATCCATTCCATAATATAAGACACAACCACTTTTCTTAGATGTTCCATAATACGGAGTATAAGGCATACATGCAAGCATGAAATTAACTATGACATCTTCTCCATTAAATTATTACTTTTTTAAATCCTCCACTCTCATGCTATCTAATCTTATTGGATGCATGCATTATATTTATTAGGATGATCCAAACTACAAGATGATAATAATTATTTCTTAGTTTTTGGGTTAAGGGTGGTTGTACCTTATATTTTGGAATGGGGTGAGTAATAAATAATAGCCCTCCAGGAGTCTGGTACACCGTACAACACCAAACGATAAGAAAGTGATTTCATCTCCTCGTTACGTGCATGTCACCTAAATGGTCATCAAATTTTTTTTAAAAAAAATAGCAAGATAGATTAATATGAAATATACCACTCCACAAACATTCAAGTTGAAATTCAACATCTACAAGTTGAAACAAAAAGAAACAAATATGTAAGCGAATGTACGATAACCATTTTAATTTGTTCCTTTTTTGCAACTTGTGGAAATCGAATTTGGTTTTGCATGTTTGTTGAGTGATATATTTCATATTAATCTATGTTGTCAATTTTTTTTCATATTTTTTAATGACTATTTAGATGACATGCAAATAATGAGACGATATCCCCTCGAGGGATGAAAATTCATTTCCCGGCACGATGTTTATTTCTGTGGAGTAATGACTTTCACGCTTGGTTTGGGGTGTGGCTGCTAAGAAAATTGGCATATATGATATATTCAATGCAGGTGCTTCCATTTTGTTTTCTTGTTTATGCTGGGAGTTGAGAAAATCTTAGTCCATAATCAACTGGTCAAGTGCCGAGGAATTGCCTGGGTCTCATTGACTCTGTTAACTTGTTCCATTGGCGGCTGTAATAAG